CAGCCAAACCAAGTTTTATTTTTTAACCATTTTTTCATTCACGTGAATTTCTCTATTTTCTCTAGAAAGTGTAACTTATCCAAGAAAGTGTAATTCTCTTTGGATAGAAGATTAAAAAAAAAAGAGGGAAAAAGAGAAAAATGAATAAAATGATTAAAACATTTAGCTCTAGAATATTCGATTCCTATTATTAGAACAGAGCTGCACAAATTGTAACTTTTAGGGTACACGAAGTAGAATGAAAATTTTTATTCTGTTTCGTAAACGAAAAAAAGACGGAACGATTTTTGTTTAGAGATATTTCACAAAAAAAGCTCTAAAAAAAGCGAAATCGGTGCAGTCTTGATCAAGACTAGCCGGAACTTTACGGAGCTAAAATTAATTACACTTTCTTGTTTAATGAATTCTCCTTAGCCATTTGCCTTTCAAAAAAAAAACCTCTGGTGTCAGATTGGTTAGCAATTGTATTTTTATTACTTATGTAGTAGCAGGGACCATGGTCCAAGACATTAATTACAAAATTTTACTCCCATGTTAAAAAAAATCTATTTAGATTTATGCTGTATTTTTAGACTTTAAAGGCGCAAAATGTTTTCTATATTCCCTTATTCCTCGCGTTTTTCAATGTATGTCCTTTTATAGTTACATTCCAATTGTATGTATTTAAATGTGTGGCGCGTTGAAGTCCTTCTCTTGAAAATGTATCAACCCCAAAATGTCACTGTTCAGAAAAATCCCATTAGGTCTGAGTCCAAAACGTCCCTTTTAAAGATGCCAAACAGGGTAAAAATATTCAATTTGTCGAACTGTATTCTCCAAATTATAATTTAATATATACCTGGGGTGTGCCAGTTTCGCGTTTCACCTTTCGTGGATTTTCGCGTTTTTGGACTTTCGCGTAATATGTTTCGTTTTTCTTAATTTTATTTTCGCTTCTTATGATTCGCTTCACTTTATACTTTTAATTCTAAATTCAAATTTTTTTTTACTTATCCCAATATATTTTCCCTAATAATGTGCCTTTACTATTTTTATTGTTTTCCAAAATTTACTTAATGGTATCAACTATTTATTTCCTCTTGGTAATTATTTATCCGTATCAGTTTATTTTGAGAGCCTTCAGAGTCTGAGATGAAGAGTACTGTAAAAAAAATTACGAAGTAGAATTTCCAAAGTGGTTTAAGATTGCCAGTGAAGGGGCAAAGTTTACCTTAAAGAAAACTTTGTGATTGTTTAAAGAAAGGGTAAAGTCTACATTGGAGGAAGTTTTTTTTTGATTAAAAAAAAAGGCAGAGGTGTAAAGAAAGCTTTTATTAGTGTAATATAAAGGAAAATTATTAATTTAAAATAAAAGTTTCTCAAGAAGCCTAAAGGAAGGGAAAAGTAGTTTAAAGAAAGGGAAAAAGCTTGCAAAAGATTAGAAATCAAGAAGGTGAGAAACTAGCAAATTTAAAAGCAATCATTGTTAATCAAAGCTTTAATGAAAATTAAAAGTGTTTTGTGTAATTCAGGTGAAAGGAACTGATGATAAACAAAAACGTCCATTAATAAATTTCATTAAGTGTTAGCCTAGTCATTCATATCTCCCATTCATTTATTAAAATTTTTTTTAATTCTATTTTTTTAGAAATTAAATAAATTAAAGCTTCTTAATTATATGTGTTCAAACAGTGGACTGTCCACTAAGGACGCCACGACATCGAGTGCCTCGGCACAAATTAATGTTGGAAATGAGGAATTGACCATTGCGGTAGTTGACAAAATGCTTTTAACGGGAAAGGTGGGCACAAATCAGGCACGTTATACTGACTTGGAAAAAGTCCATGGGGACACAATCAGACTTGAGGAAGGTATTAATCGTTCATTAAGAGCTATAAACCGAAAAATTAACCTTAATGCCAATAATTTAACCAATCTAGCTGATGAAGTTAATGTAGGTTTTGCAACACTGGGGTCTCAGATTGAGGGTTGTGTTACTCGACTAAAGGGGGTTGGCACTGAACGTACACACTCGAAATCACTTTCGCCTATAAGGTGCACTCCCAAAAATAAATCAACTCCAAAAGTTAATTTAAATGAGAAAATTTTTGAGCAGCCTCAAATTAGTTTTTCCTTAGCTATAGAAGCTTCGGCTAATAATAATCTTCATATCGATGATGATGAACAGGGGGATGACCATACATTAAATATGTTAAGTAACGAGGGAATTCCTTCCCTAGAGGTATTTTCAGACGATAACATAGTAGCACTAGATAAGTGGAGTAAGAAATTCATGGAAAGAATCAAAGTGTATGGGGCAAGGCTTTCTGAAGAAGAAAAGCTCAACCGCCTTTCTATATTTTTGGACGATACACCCAAACAAATATTTGAGGAATTAAGTCCCGCAAAACGAACCACTTGTGAACAGGCTCTAAAAAGCATAAGAGAAGAGCTTGACTCTCCTCAGCGTAGGTCACTCTCACGACAGGCACTATTAATTTGTAAACAGCAGGAAAATGAAACAGTCAAGGAATTTTTGACAAGATTCAGACCTCTAGCGTTGGCAACAGCAGTGGACATGGCTGGTACTCATCGTGAACGTTATCTATGTGATCTTCTACTGGAAAGGCTTCTCCCTAATATTGCTTTTTGTATGAAACTCCTCAACTTTACTCAGAACAACCGTGGATTTGAGCAACTTTGTATGGATGCTAGGGAAGTGGAAATTATGATCCCAGGCAGAAGCAACCCGTTATTCCCAACAGCAAGTGTCAATGAAATTCAGGAAGGGAATCAATACGTAGGTTCTCAGGGTCCTTCGGGACGTTTTAAAACTTTAAATCCAATTAATTCGAATAGAGTACAACCTCGTGAAGGTTGGAGATTTAACCAAACTAACGATCGAAACTTTCAGAATCGACAAATCAATCAACAACGAAGCTGGTCTAGGCCAAATCAAAGAATGAACAACTGGAACCGCAATCCTTCGAATGATCGCCGATGGAACAACAGACCTGTGTGCAATTATTGCTCTCGTGTAGGCCACTTTGCAAGCAACTGCCGTGAACGACTTGAACGCTTTAACTTCAGACAATATGAAGGTCAAGGAACAAGCCAATCTCAAAGCAGGTCAGGTCAAATTCAAAATGATTCTATGCTATCAGAAATTTTAAATGCGATCAGAAAGATGAAGGTGGGTGAAAATTCAAATATTCCTTCAGTTCAAAATTTAGAGGTAGTCCAAAAATTTGAAAAGGTTAAAGAAAGTCCTAGAAATGAAAAAGAGTCAAAACAAAGTGCAATCTCATCTTGGGAAGGCAGAAGGAGCTTAGGCCCAAAATTATTACCACTTACAATCTTAATGCTTGTAGCAATGTTCTCTCCTGTTCTAGGGTTTGAAAATTTACCTAAACCACAATGGCCAATGATTTGCCAAATGGAGAAACAAGGTATTTTATGGTCCCTACCTGAACTATCTGAATGTCCTAAACTCACACCGAACGTTTCGCACGCTCCTATTTCGCAAACAAGAACTGTTTATATGCTTAATGACTTAGAGTATGCGACTGACGCGTGGGCCTGTAGAAAAATACGCAAGATTGTTAAGAAATATACTTCTATTACTAATGTCCCAATAACTGAGCCAGTATCTTCAGAAATGCTAGAAGTGTCAAGAGAAGAGTGTAATAAGATGATTAAAGAAAAGAAGTGTAGTTTAGGGTCACTCAAGGAAGAAAATGAAGTCTTTACGACTGGAAATAAAATTGATATCAGTCCTAAAATGTGGCTTGTAGGATCGTTTACGTGGACTCAGGTCCAATCTGAAAATTGTATTTTGTTTGAAACGCAAGTGTACTCTCACTGGGGCGAGAAGACTATAAGGACACCCTTAGGGGGCACCCATAATTGCTCTTATGATAAAGGTCGTTGTGCTTTGGAAGACAAAACATTTCTTGAATGGACCATAAATGAAAAGAGTTTTTGCCGTTATGTCCCTATAGGTCGTTGGACAGGAAAATTTTTAGACAACACCTGGTTATCTGACGACGCACAAATAGCCTTACATTTTGGAAAGCCCTCTTCAAAAACACACGATTGTGGCAAAGATTTAGAAATTTCTGAGCAAGGTTTCGCGACTGAAACTCACTTTGAACGCGAAAAGCGTAGTAAAAATGCAGAAAGCCTCGGCTTAGCAACAGCACCGGAACTAGCAGCTAGACTTACATTTTTAGACAAAGAATGGGCAGAAACTATGACCTTCGCGTTTGCTCATTCACTAAAAGCAGTCTGTGCTCATATGGAAACAGTAAAGAAACTTGCAGTAGCAGCGTATCTATCCAACCCGACAGGCCTAGCAAGAATGGTCTTTAATAACGAATATCTAGTAGCAAAAAGAGAAGGGGTCTCTTTACTGAGTGTCTGGCCTTGTATAAAATTAAAAGAAAATGAGTTTAGTTTTATTAACACAAAAATGGATGAATGTTTTGAGTTAGTCCCAATTCAGGTCAAAACAGGTTCAAAGGATATTATGGCATTTCTTGACCCGAATACAATGATTATTCAACCAACTGCTAGGAAAGCCCCTTGTTCCCAGTTTAGAAAAATAATACTTGAAGTGAATAATAATGCTTTAGAAATAAATCAGCAGACTGGAGAAATAAAAACTGTAAAACCCAGAGGCATAAGAAAAAATGAAGTTAGATATTTTCAAGTTCCAAATCTTAAATCGCACTCATTTCATGAACTAGTACTAGTTAATTTAACTGACCTCAATACTCACACATTTATGACAAATATGGCCAGAGTAAGTGAATTAACTTACAGACTTAGTGAAAAAGACACAGTCATTACCAAAACTTTATCAGATCAATGGAAAGAAGCTGGGGATAAAATTACAAAGGAAGTTTTTGGAGATTATATGGGAATTTGGAAAATTGGCATAACATGTCTAGTTGTAATCCTAATAATTGATTTAGTGATAAGACTGGCAGTAATTGTGTCAAAAAGCTATATAGGTAGCTTATTAGAAATTGCACAGCCATTTAAAGGAAGAATAACAAGGCAAGAAAGTGTAGTAAGGACACCTAAGAAAGTAAAATCGGTACCACTAAAAAGAATGTCCATGATAAAACAAAGGAAAAGGAGTGTACTTAAGCAAAGCAACTGGATTCCTCAAGTATCACAAATACCTCCAATAGAAATAAATGTTCTATCCACCTCAAGTGAAAATGCGGCCTCGGCCAAAAATAAATTAAATATTAACGCTACCTCTCCAAATACAGCAATTACTAGGGTATCAGTCAATAATAAACCTGTGAACTGTCTTATCGACACTGGGGCAAGTATATCCATAGCTCCTATCTCGCTTGCAAGAGAATTAAATATAGGACTTACCCCTACTTGTTTAGCAATCACTTCAGCCTCGGGTCATGAAATTTTAGTCAAGGCACAAATGAAATGTTGTTTAGAAGTAGCTGGGCTAAAGCATACAGTCGATGTTAATTTAGTAGAAGATAAACAATTAAATAACAAAAGAAATTATCAAATGATAATTGGATGTGATCTTTTGGGTAAACTGCCACCTGTCACGTTTGATTTTAAGAACGACAAAGCGTGGTTTGGAAATTCCGCAGTATGCCTCGGCATAAATAATCAACCTTTAATAGAAAATGCGAAAATTTATGCGATAGAAGCCACAACTATTCTCCCTGGGTCACACAAAATTGTCAAAGGAAAATTAATGTCTATGAATAAAATAAGCAATGCATTAATTCATGCTCTAGAAAATCGTCTAGTAGCCGAAAACATTGGATTAATTCAAACAGTTGTGGGACCAAAGGACAATTCTGTATGTGTTTTGTTGGCTAATCCCACAAATGCCCCAAAGCATATTTTTAATGGAATGCACATAGCATATGCAGATGAGTGTATAGAAAGCTGTGAAGGTCCTTGGCTAACCCAATATCAAGATAAAGGTGAAATAGATGTTTATAAAGTAAATAACTTGGAAAGTGATAAAACATTCAAAATAGATTTCTCAAAAAGCTCAGTCCAAGGAAATGATTTAATTAGACTCCAAAAACTATGTGAAGAATTTTCGGATGTCTTCAGTAAAAGCCAATATGATTTAGGGTCTTGTATAGTAGGAGAACATGATATTTTGACCACAACTGAAACTCCTATTGCTTCCAAACCCCATAGAGTCCCATTTAAATTTCAGAACGAACTGCAAGAAAATATTAACAAGCTCTTGAAATCAGGAGTTATGGTAAAATCTGACACTCCGTGGGTCTCAAATATAGTATTAGTGCAGAAAAAGGATGGTGGGCTTAGGCCTTGCATAGACTTCAGAAAATTAAACGAGGTTACTGTCCCAGATCATTTTCCCCTGCCTAGGTTGGAAACTATTATGGAAAAAGTAGGAGGGTGTCACTTTTATTCATCTCTTGATCTCTCTAGTGGATACCTTCAGATAAGGCTAACTGAAAGAGCCTCTAGGAAATGTGGTGTAATTACAGAAGACGAAGTGTACCAAATGACCCACATGCCTTTCGGTTTAAGAAATGCAACTAGTGCGTTCGCTAGAGTAATGGCGCATGTAATTAGTGGACTGGAAGATTGTGTATTAACTTATGTAGATGACTTTCTTGTATTTACAAAACCCAATGACTTTGACGTGCATCTCGATGCCTTAAAACAAGTATTTGAACGTTTAAGAAAATTTTCATTAAAAGTCAGTCCCAAGAAATGTGTACTTGGCTCAACAAAAATGCACTTCTTAGGGCATATTATTAATTCCTCAGGCTACACACCAAGCCTAAGCAAAGTGGAAATAATAAAGAACTTAGCAGCACCCACTAGTGTCAAAGAAGTCAGGCGAGTAGTAGGAATGGCCTCATTTTTCAGAAAACATATTCAAAATTTTTCAATGATAGCAGAACCATTAACCAGGCTAACTCGCAAAGAAAATTGCTTTAAGTGGGAAGAGGAACAACAAATAGCGTTTGATAAAATAAAAGAAATATTGACGAATGAACCAGTCCTGACCTTTCCAGATTATAGTAAGCCGTTTCACATTTTCACTGATGCATCTCTAGTAGGTCAAGGCGGGGCACTAATGCAAAAGAATGAAAATAATCTGTTTCAAGCAATAGCATATTGTAGTAGAACATTAACCACTGCAGAAAGGAAGTGGCCACCAGTACAAATAGAGCTAGGTGCGATAATCTATGCACTTAGGCAATTCAAACCTTTTATTTATATGGCAGAGGTCGAGCTTCACACTGACCATAAGCCTTTGGCATATCTTCTTGAAAAGGCGCAGGCTCACCCAAACTTAGCACGCTGGCTCATTGAACTTCAGAATTATTTTATAAAAATTGTGCATGTTTCTGGAAAAGAAAACCTTTTAGCAGATGCACTCTCAAGGGTATTTAAGACAAATGACCCCAAGGAAGTAGAAAATCTCGAAGAGCTTGAAGACATTGCCGAGTTTCCTGTATGTTTAGTCTTAAGAACTAAGTCGCAATTACTCATTGATGAGTCTATAGCAGCGTTTACTTTAAGAAAAGAGGATGGACAAAATTATACAATTGATATTAGGCATGAACAAAGTGAAGACCCCGAGGCCTCGGCCCTTATTAAATTTTTAAAGACAGGAGAAATTCCAGAAGAAATTCCGCAGAATGAAATAGAAAAATTTGTAGTATCAGCAGAAAATCTTCAAATAATGAGTGACATACTTTGCCATAAATTGCCAAACTTGAATCCCAGAATATTTGTACCAGTCTCCCTTAGAGCATTAATCTTTGAATCTTTTCACTCCTCGCACCTGGGCGGAGGACACATGAGTATGAAAAAGACATTAAAGAAATGCAGAAAATATTTTTGGCATAGAATGCACGCTGATATACTCACCTGGACGCGTAACTGTATAACCTGTCAGCTTCGGCACTCTCCAAATCCTCCCTACAGAGCTGAAATGCAGATGGCTCCTCCAAGTACACTCTTTGCTAAAGTAGGAATTGACTTAGCGGGCCCCTTTCCGATGACTCAAAATGGAAACAAATATATAATGAACATTATTTGTTGGTTCACAAAATATGTAATTTCAGTACCTGTCCCCGACGCAAAAGCATTAACTTTAGCAAAGGCTTTCCTCACAAATTGCTATCTGAGGTATGGCGGATGTATTGAATTAATAACAGATAATGCCACGGCATTCACTAGCGAATTTTTCAGAAATTTCTGCTCCATGTTGTATATAAACAAAAGCTATGCAATCCCCCATTGGTCCCAGGGCAATGCAGTCACTGAACGCTCGTTCAGAACTTTTCATAATATTCTTGCCAAGTATATAAATAAGGAACAGCCCGATTTTGATGAATTTGTGGACATAGCCAGTTTTTGCTATAACACATCAATCCATGCCTCGACAGGAGAGACTCCCTTCTTTTTAATGTTCGGTAGAGATCCAATTTTCTGTGTAGATCAGATTTTAGATCCTAGAGTTCACGACCCAATAGCATTAACTGATCTGTCTGAATTCAAGCAAAAATTAGTAGTCTCATTAAGAAAGGCGTGGGAAGCCGCTGACGTAGCAAATAAGGAAGCCCAATTAAAGTCAAAGGCCCAGTATGATAAGTTAACAAGAAACCCAACAGTAACTGTAGGTGACAGAGTATTATTGAGGAATTATTGTGGCAAAATAGGTACATCGAAGAAATTTCACATGCCCTGGAAAGGTGTATTCAGAGTAGCAAAAATAGATGGAATTTATGTTACTATAGTTAGTTGTAATGCCCCTAGTGCGATACCGAAGGTTGTTCATATAAACCAGTTAAAGAAGTGCTTTGAAGATTTACCACCGATAGTAACAGTCCCAGAACTAACCGAAGAAGAGGAAAAAGCAATTAAGGACTCAAACAATCAGGAACCAGTTACAACCACTCCAATAGAGGAGAATTGTCCTGAAGAGAATAATAGTAGGGAACCCAATAAGAAAAGATACAACCTCCGTAGGAATCCCAAAGCCAGAAGGCTCTCAATAGAATAAACTCACTCTCTTAAATATAATTCTAGTTATTTTTAATCTCTTTCACAATCATTTCTCCCAAACTTTATCATTTTACTCTCACACATTTAATTTTTTTTACGCGATTTTAATTTTAATTCACAAAATTTTCAAATTTAATTAAAATAAAAATTTTTTTTAGAAAGATAATGTCTAAAAATCTTAAAATAAAAGCAACTAAAACTAAAGTATTTGAGGCTGCAATGCAAGGAATTGGATCCTCGTCAACAGCTTCTGTAGGGACTTCGGTCCAAAATAATTTGTGTGAGAGCGAGAAAAACGTTGGGACTTCGGTCCATTCAAAAAGTGAAAAGGAGAGAGAAATCTCTTTTAAAAATCTTACCATTTCAGATAATGCATCAATTGAAAAAGGGACTTCGGTCCAAGATAAAATGTCGTGTGAAGAAAAACTTTTGGAAGATGTGAATGTCATTGATCCAGAGAAAATTACTGAAAGTTTGGAGAACTTAGTCCTGGGGGCTGAAAATGAAAATACTGAAAAAGAAGAAACACTGAAACAAGCACTGGATGAATGGGAGAAGTCAGGTAATTCGTGGGGAGAAGAAAATGAATCACAAGACTTTGGAAACGGTGGGTTTAGTGGGGCCTCGGCTCAAAATAAAGATAAATTTACAGAGGTTAAAAGTAAAGAAAAGAAGAAAGAAGAAAAGGAAGAGCCAAAAGAGCGAGTACCAAAAGGAAGACGTTATGTTATTTCACAGCTTCAAGAAGCCAGACTTATTGCAGTGTCGACATCCCCAAACAAAGAAGATGAATGGCCTCTATTCATGGAAATTCCTTGGAATGTTCTAGTTGAAATGAATAATGAAGATGCGACAGATGCATGCGTTGGGGATGACATTTACATCACTAAATTCCAGCTCCGTACCGACAAATTCCAAACCTTGAATGAAAATACGTGGTTCTATCAAGGGAATATCAATTGGCAAGCCACTGCGACTGAAGTGGAGATGGTTGGAATACAAGAATATAGAATGAAGACAGGTTTTGTTGTTGAAACTAGGAAGAGGGGAAAAGATGGAAAGACAGGTTCAATTCGAGTTATTGCTTTTGGAATGGAGCGGACTTCGGTCCTTTATAAACGTCAGTGTGTAGAAGTGGATTGGGACAACTTAAAGAAGGGAATGTTTATTGATGTAGCATTGGCACCCATTGAGGAAGGATGGTTAATTGGTCCAAACTATATTTTACCTCCGGGATGTAATTTTCGACTGGGAACAGAAGTATTAGCGAGATCAAATTCCAAAATAGCCACAGCTGCAGGTTCATTTGAGGGTGAATGGCGTTGGACAGCAGCGTCTGGCATTCCAAGAGTCTTCCCGATAACTCAACAATACACGATGGACGAAATTCATTTAGCTGAGACCCTTATCGCAGCAGCTCTAATTGTAGCAAGCGAAGAAGAAGAGACTTCGCGCATGGAAACCACGTACGTAGGCCCGTTAACAAGAGTGTCGGAAGAAAATCGTCGCAACTTTACAATTATGTTCGCCTCGGCGGAAAAGAAATTTATTAAGAAGGTCACTGAAATTTGGTCCAAAGATTCAAATATTTCTGCTCAGACATCGTACAGATCCAAAGCTTTTGCCCAAGGACATGTTAATGAAGTAAGAAAATTAGAGTCGCAAGACAACAAAATCAGAATCGAAGTTGAGATCACATTAGTCGTAAATCAAGGAAAATTTGACCACCAAGATGACTTTGAGTCAATGCTAGAAGGATCATCAGTAATATTGCGTGTTAGAGAAGGAGCGGGCGGCTTTCGTATGCAAGCTGAAACTTTCGGATTTCATCTCCCAAGCATTGTCTGTGAACGAGACACCCCTCAAGCCGAAATTGTCAAATCGCTTTTGGGCCGATCAGGGACGATCGACCGCGTTGATGAGAGTGAGCTGGCTAATCTAGATTTGAATATGGAATGTGTTCGTCAACTGAATGACAAACAACGACACACACTTGTCCATTGGTTGAATCCCGGGGTGGGGCGCGTCCATTTCACCCAGGCCCCACCCGGGACGGGCAAGACCAAGATCGCAGCCACATGTATTGCAGCAGCGTTGCGAGTGGAGCCAGAAAGCGCAGTGTTGGCCTCGGCCATGAGTAATCTCCCAGTGACTAAACTCGTCATCGAATCAGCCAGAGCAGAAGTAGCGGTGGACATGGTTGCATTCTTTTCTGGATCAGCACGTGTGAGGTACGGTGAACAAATTGGACAGTTAGAAGAATATTTATTGGAAGCTAAACTTAGGGGGGAAGAGTACAAGCAGTCGTTAGAGAAGGGTGAAGCGAGAGAAGTTGAAGAATATTTGAAAATAGTCCGTCCCCAGCCACGACATGCAAGAGAAAAGGCAGTAGGAGAAATTTTGATGAGAAGTGACTTCCACAGAGTAGCGTTTGCGACTACATTTATGTCAGCAGCCATCACCGGAGCGCACAGACAGACAACGCATCTCATTCTGGATGAGACGACTCAAATACCGTTTTGTACTGTCATGCATCTGGTCTGTCACATGCCCGCCTTGAAGTCCGTCTTATTGACGGGCGATAAGCGCCAACTGGCTGTTCATGTAGCTGAGTTGGAAGAAGTAATCCAGAGAGGCTTCGGCCTTGAATCAGTAGTTGAACAAATTGAAGAATGTGTGCGTGTAACTACCACCACACTTGAGCGTTGCTATCGAGCACATCCAGCAATTGTTGACTGTTTTGACTTCGCGTCTTATCGTCAGCATGGCGAGCGTGTAATAGCAGCAGTAACCGCGGAAGAGCGCGCTGGTTTAACGAATTCTGGAATTCATCTCCCAGTCAATGGCATTCCAGTTGTGTTGATTGATGTTGAAGGGCAAAATATTCAGGATCCGACTTCATTCAGCCTAGAATGCCCGGAACAAACTGAAGTGGTGCTTCGGCTCGTAAAAATCCTGGAACCGCGCGATCCAAACATTGTCATCATTTGCTTATACACCTACCAAGCCGAGATCATAAGGCAAACACTTCGGAAAATTGATAGTCGTGTAGCTGTACATACGTGTGACAGCTTTCAAGCTCAGGAACAACGCATTGTAATTCTTGTTACCACGCGCACACTTACAAAAGGCACCAGAGCAACCTCGGACTTTATTAAGGACACGCAGCGAGCGACGGTAGCTTTGTCGCGTTCTCAGCATGGATTATTTGTAGTTGCTGATTTTGAAGCGATTAAAGAGGGCGAAGTGTGGCGGCGCTTTATGCAGCAAGCAGAAATGTTCACCCCAATCGTAGACAGCAGATACTTAGAAGTGATGGATCTCCCGAAGAGTGCTAGGGGCTTTGGCGGAGTTTTAAAGGATTTACAGGGACGTTCCGTGCAATCAGACAGGTTGAGACTCCAATTGGAGGGGCCAAGTGTGCAACAACCGGAACAACCAGCAGGAGAAAGGCGAACAGATCAACGTGGACCACCAAGAGCTGTGAGATGTTATCAATGTGGTGGCAAAGGACACTTAGCGCGCGAATGCAGACGTGTTTGAAGAAAGTGCGAGGCGGACAAAACAGAAGAGGTAGAGATTTAATTTAAATTAAAAATAAAGTGACTTCGGTCAAATATAAATGAACGTGTGTAAAAATTAGTTGACCTCGGTCAAAGATAAAAATAAAATTGGCGAGGAAATGGACACTTACAAGCTTGTACACTCAAGGATTGGAATGGTCAGGTAAAGACCAGGGACGGTCTTCCCCGGGGTTGGAGATGTAAGGCGGAAATAGGATTGAGAAATATTAAATAAAACTTTCCCAGCGACCCCGCCTATCCATAACCAATATAATCCTAGGAATAAGCGAAGAAAGGGATCAGTCAGTCAATCAGTCAGCCTATTAGTCAGTTAATAATAAAAGTGAATTAATATATTTATTGCCCGATCGGAGGAACTTGTCGTCGCCCGTTTAATCGCTCTTAAGGAGTGAGCGGTGAATATTGTCCGGCCGGACTACCAACAACATTAATTAATTAGTATTCCCTCATATTCTATTATCCTGGGCTCTACACTGGGTATGGATTCAGCAAACTTCTTCTTTAGTTTAGGACATAAGATTTGACTCAAAGAAACAGAATATAACATGTCCTCCTAAAGCGATAAAGTTCAAATCTGCCTTATTAGTTTAGGACATAAGATTTGAGACTTAAAGAAACAGAATATAACATGTCCTCCTAAATCGATAAAGTTCAAATCTGCCTTATTAGTTTAGGACATAAGATTTGAGACTTAAAGAAACAGAATATAACATGTCCTCCTAAATCGATAAAGTTCAAATCTGCCTTATTAGTTTAGGACATAAGATTTGACTCAAAGAAACAGAATATAACATGTCCTCCTAAAGCGATAAAGTTCAAATCTGCCTTATTAGTTTAGGACATAAGATTTGAGACTTAAAGAAACAGAATATAACATGTCCTCCTAAATCGATAAAGTTCAAATCTGCCTTATTAGTTTAGGACATAAGATTTGAGTCTTAAAGAAACAGAATATAACATGTCCTCCTAAATCGATAAAGTTCAAATCTGCCTTATTAGTTTAGGACATAAGATTTGAGACTTAAAGAAACAGAATATAACATGTCCTCCTAAAGCGATAAAGTTCAAATCGGCCTTATTAGTTTAGGACATAAGATTTGAGACTTAAAGAAACAGAATATAACATGTCCTCCTAAATCGATAAAGTTCAAATCTGCCTTATTAGTTTAGGACATAAGATTTGAGACTTAAAGAAACAGAATATAACATGTCCTCCTAAAGCGATAAAGTTCAAATCTGCCTTATTAGTTTAGTACATAAGATTTGAGACTTAAAGAAACAGAATATAACATGTCCTCCTAAATCGATAAAGTTCAAATCTGCCTTATTAGTTTAGGACATAAGATTTGAGACTTAAAGAAACAGAATATAACATGTCCTCCTAAATCGATAAAGTTCAAATCTGCCTTATTAGTTTAGGACATAAGATTTGAGACTTAAAGAAACAGAATATAACATGTCCTCCTAAAGCGATAAAGTTCAAATCTGCCTTATTAGTTTAGGACATAAGATTTGAGACTTAAAGAAACAGAATATAACATGTCCTCCTAAATCGATAAAGTTCAAATCTGCCTTATTAGTTTAGGACATAAGATTTGAGACTTAAAGAAACAGAATATAACATGTCCTCCTAAATCGATAAAGTTCAAATCTGCCTTATTAGTTTAGGACATAAGATTTGACTCAAAGAAACAGAATATAACATGTCCTCCTAAAGCGATAAAGTTCAAATCTGCCTTATTAGTTTAGGACATAAGATTTGAGACTTAAAGAAACAGAATATAACATGTCCTCCTAAATCGATAAAGTTCAAATCTGCCTTATTAGTTTAGGACATAAGATTTGAGTCTTAAAGAAACAGAATATAACATGTCCTCCTAAATCGATAAAGTTCAAATCTGCCTTATTAGTTTAGGACATAAGATTTGAGACTTAAAGAAACAGAATATAACATGTCCTCCTAAAGCGATAAAGTTCAAATCTGCCTTATTAGTTTAGGACATAAGATTTGAGACTTAAAGAAACAGAATATAACATGTCCTCCTAAATCGATAAAGTTCAAATCTACCTTATTAGTTTAGGACATAAGATTTGAGACTTAAAGAAACAGAATATAACATGTCCTCCTAAAGCGATAAAGTTCAAATCTGCCTTATTAGTTTAGGACATAAGATTTGAGACTTAAAGAAACAGAATATAACATGTCCTCCTAAAGCGATAAAGTTCAAATCTGCCTTATTAGTTTAGGACATAAGATTTGAGACTTAAAGAAACAGAATATAACATGTCCTCCTAAATCGATAAAGTTCAAATCTGCCTTATTAGTTTAGGACATAAGATTTGAGACTTAAAGAAACAGAATATAACATGTCCTCCTAAATCGATAAAGTTCAAATCTGCCTTATTAGTTTAGGACATAAGATTTGAGACTTAAAGAAACAGAATATAACATGTCCTCCTAAATCGATAAAGTTCAAATCTGCCTTATTAGTTTAGGACATAAGATTTGAGACTTAAAGAAACAGAATATAACATGTCCTCCTAAAGCGATAAAGTTCAAATCTGCCTTATTAGTTTAGGACATAAGATTTGAGACTTAAAGAAACAGAATATAACATGTCCTCCTAAATCGATAAAGTTCAAATCTGCCTTATTAGTTTAGGACATAAGATTTGAGACTTAAAGAAACAGAATATAACATGTCCTCCTAAATCGATAAAGTTCAAATCTGCCTTATTAGTTTAGGACATAAGATTTGAGACTTAAAGAAACAGAATATAACATGTCCTCCTAAATCGATAAAGTTCAAATCTGCCTTATTAGTTTAGGACATAAGATTTGAGACTTAAAGAAACAGAATATAACATGTCCTCCTAAAGCGATAAAGTTCAAATCTGCCTTATTAGTTTAGGACATAAGATTTGAGACTTAAAGAAACAGAATATAACATGTCCTCCTAAATCGATAAAGTTCAAATCTGCCTTATTAGTTTAGGACATAAGATTTGAGACTTAAAGAAACAAAATATAACATGTCCTCCTAAAGCGATAAAGTTCAAATCTGCCTTATTAGTTTAGGACATAAGATTTGAGACTTAAAGAAACAGAATATAACATTCCTCCTAAAGCGATAAAGTTCAAATCTGCCTTATTAGTTTAGGACATAAGATTTGAGTCTTAAAGAAACAGAATATAACATGTCCTCCTAAATCGATAAAGTTCAAATCTGCCTTATTAGTTTAGGACATAAGATTTGAGACTTAAAGAAACAGAATATAACATGTCCTCCTAAAGCGATAAAGTTCAAATCTGCCTTATTAGTTTAGGACATAAGATTTGAGACTTAAAGAAACAGAATATAACATGTCCTCCTAAATCGATAAAGTTCAAATCTGCCTTATTAGTTTAGGACATAAGATTTGAGACTTAAAGAAACAGAATATAACATGTCCTCCTAAAGCGATAAAGTTCAAATCTGCCTTATTAGTTTAGGACATAAGATTTGAGACTTAAAGAAACAGAATATAACATGTCCTCCTAAAGCGATAAAGTTCAAATCTGCCTTATTAGTTTAGGACATAAGATTTGAGACTTAAAGAAACAGAATATAACATGTCCTCCTAAAGCGATAAAGTTCAAATCTGCCTTATTAGTTTAGGACATAAGATTTGAGACTTAAAGAAACAGAATATAACATGTCCTCCTAAATCGATAAAGTTCAAATCTGCCTTATTAGTTTAGGACATAAGATTTGAGACTTAAAGAAACAGAATATAACATGTCCTCCTAAAGCGATAAAGTTCAAATCTGCCTTATTAGTTTAGGACATAAGATTTGAGACTTAAAGAAACAGAATATAACATGCATCCTAAAGCGATAAAGTTCAAATCTGCCTTATTAGTTTAGGACATAAGATTTGAGACTTAAAGAAACAGAATATAACATGTCCTCCTAAATCGATAAAGTTCAAATCTGCCTTATTAGTTTAGGACATAAGATTTGAGACTTAAAGAAACAGAATATAACATGTCCTCCTAAATCGATAAAGTTCAAATCTGCCTTATTAGTTTAGGACATAAGATTTGAGACTTAAAGAAACAGAATATAACATGTCCTCCTAAATCGATAAAGTTCAAATCTGCCTTATTAGTTTAGGACATAAGATTTGAGACTTAAAGAAACAGAATATAACATGTCCTCCTAAAGCGATAAAGTTCAAATCTGCCTTATTAGTTTAGGACATAAGATTTGAGACTTAAAGAAACAGAATATAACATGTCCTCCTAAAGCGATAAAGTTCAAATCTGCCTTATTAGTTTAGGACATAAGATTTGAGACTTAAAGAAACAGAATATAACATGTCCTCCTAAAGCGATAAAGTTCAAATCTGCCTTATTAGTTTAGGACATAAGATTTGAGACTTAAAGAAACAGAATATAACATGTCCTCCTAAATCGATAAAGTTCAAATCTGCCTTATTAGTTTAGGACATAAGATTTGAGACTTAAAGAAACAGAATATAACATGTCCTCCTAAAGCGATAAAGTTCAAATCTGCCTTATTAGTTTAGGACATAAGATTTGAGACTTAAAGAAACAGAATATAACATGTCCTCCTAAAGCGATAAAGTTCAAATCTGCCTTATTAGTTTAGGACATAAGATTTGAGACTTAAAGAAACAGAATATAACATGTCCTCCTAAATCGATAAAGTTCAAATCTGCCTTATTAGTTTAGGACATAAGATTTGAGACTTAAAGAAACAGAATATAACATGTCCTCCTAAATCGATAAAGTTCAAATCTGCCTTATTAG